GCTACCTTCCCCCCGCGCGATCTTCTCCTCCTTCTCCCCGCCTTCCCCCAACCTCCCCTCAACAACTCTATCCCTACCAACCCCACCGACGACTACACCCGCATCGTGTTCGCACCCACATCCGCCGACTTCAACACCCTCGTTCGACATGTCCCTAAAATCGACTACCTTCCCCCATCCCTCGCCTCCAAGACATTCCCACCTTCTCCAGACACTCCCATGACAATGGTCTCCTCTTCCTCGCCAAGTTACAACAAGCTTTCGAACTCCACAACGTTCCCCTTATCCACAGGCTTTCCATCCCCGTCAACAAACTCGTTGACACCGCCCATCGATGGTGGATCACCAAATCCACCAACCGACACTTCGTCGACCTACCTCCCCTCTCCTTCCTCGAGTGGGCCTGCCTCCTCTCTGCAACCTTCCGCCCGCAGAAAACAATCGATGACTACGTTGACCAGTTTTGTCGGCTTCGCCAAAACGGCCCCACTGATCGCTTTCTAATATGTTCGTACCCTCCGCCAAAACATTCCCCACGACCAGATCAACGACACCGTCTTCGTTTCCCGCTTCAAGCGGGTCTACCTCAAGGACATCGCATCTGCCCTCGTCTACGGGCCACCCATGTCCTTCACCGTCTCACGGTGGAGTTTTATCCCATGCCTCAAGCACAACTCAACCGTCGTGAGCGCGGTACCTCAACTCCGCCACAGGGTATCACCCCTCTCCGTTTGCCCAGAGTAACCCATCCCGTCTTGCCGTCCTCTTACTCCCCCGTTGGCACTGGGAATCACCCCGCGCACCCCGTTACGAGCAAAGGTTAGTCGTTCGGGCATTCACATCCATTGGTCCGATAAGAGTTAGCCTTTCCCATGTCGTACTTTGAGAAGTTGGCCTTTCCTCCGTTTGCTGACAAGCAGTCGCCCCAACCGTGGAGACGTTTCGCGTCCCGCCTGGGCAAGGTGCCGAACCATGCTCGGTCCGCCCGGGAGAGAGTGCTACTAATCAACCGGGGAGACCAACCCCTACCAACAAACCGGTGGACCAGCCTCCCGCGCATGAGACACAGTGGCACTTCAAAGAGACGAGGTTTCTCAACCCGCCCCAGCTGGTTCAGACCCACGCTTTCCTTCCGCAGGCAGGACGCTCAATTTCCCCTCATGCAGATCACAAGTCCCAAGTGGGACATACATAGTACAAGTGCCTTTCCCATGGTGCATCCAGCGCATCCTACCCATACCTTGCATTATCTCTCAGGACCGTATGTGCCACTCCCTCTATTGTCCATACACAATGGTTGGTTCCTTTTCGTGAGCATCTTCAATGGTGAGCTAGTTTTCCTTGGAGTCTAGCAACTCCCTTCATTCCCATTCTCTTCCTTCGTCTATCGTTTCATAGGGCAGGATTGTTCCTTTCTCGATTACCGTTGCGTTCATGTTGGTTCCTTCAAGCATTTCAAGTGTATAGTGCATGGGCCCGCTGGGCCCAGAAGAAGAAAAGAGAAGAGCACCTAGCTGGTAGGATCACTCCGCTGCAGGATTGTCACTGGAGCCCGGCCGAAGCCGAAGGACCAACCGCTTGCCAGGTAACCGAAACCTTCCTTTCACACCAAGAGGAAGGGTCGACCTGCGACTTGCCGCATGCTTCCCCGGACTGGCGAACACCAGCACCAGAGGAAGGGGGCTAGAGCCACGCCGCAAAAGAGTGAGCTGATCAAGTGTGCATCAAGCATGTTATACCTCTAGGGCTGGCCATGCCATGCGCCCAACCACTCTCAAATCTGATTCTCTCAAAGGGAAGAGCAAACGCAAGTCCTCATTTCCTTCTATTTGGTTGTGTACACGGTCACTCGTTGGGCGCCCCCATCGGGATTGTAAAGGTCAGTTTAACCCCCTAACCGTCATCTCCACCATTTTTGTAGGGCCAAACCTCGTTAGACTTCCGAGCCTGTGTCGACCCCACTGCGGGTCCCAGTTGTCTCGGCCCGCCCACGCTCATGCTCAGGGCGCGGGCCATTTGTTACAGGGTCACCTCCACCGAGTGCTTTGAGATGGATGGGGGTGGGTCATCGAGCGAGAGAGCTTTGACATTGGGGATGTAGCTCAACCCTCACACCGGGTGGTAGTCTCGCAGGTCCTTCGCAAGCGCTGTTTTCTTCATACTTTATTGTGTTTGTAGGCAAATGCTCCTTCCAATGCTCAAGCAGTCCAGGGGTCCTTTGAGAATTTCTCTTCTTTCGTGCGTAGGCTAAGCAACATCCTTAGGCCACACACCATTTCCCTAACGCAACTGTCCTATGGCATCATCGGGGCACGACGGCGACGTCTTCCCCCTTTGCCCTATGTACTTCGGCGATCAACACATTCCATTCATGGGTTTGGTGCATGCCCCTTAGTCTTTTCGGGGCCACCATCTGCATAGAAAGGGCTACATCACGTTCCAACCACGCAAGACTTCACTCGTCTCTTATTCCGCACTCAAGGTCTCATACACAAAGGCCCATTCATAGGTAGAGTTTACACCAAGGGCCCCTTGGCCTTTTGCCCTTTCCCGCTTCCTTTGCCACTTGGCCTATCCGGCCTAGTCCCGCTCAAGACATCCCAATGCTACTCACCTGCATAGTCAAACGCAAATGCGAAGACCGATACAATCCCCCATTGGGGTCAACACATAGCCCTTTCCACATGCCTAATTTCTTTCTTTGCCCTTGACTTCCTTCCGTTCACTTTGTTCTGCCCAGTCAATCCATCCACTTCCTTTACTCATGCAGTCGAGGTTCTGGTTGAGTCAACTGATATTTCTTTCAATCACCAATCTCTTTCCTTAGTTCTCTTTGGACCAATCCACTCCCGATTTCACAACGTTTTGCGCTCACCGTTCTCAAGTGTTCCATGCTTTTTTTCCTTCTTGGTGGCACAAGGGACCGGTTGTCCTCTGCTTGCCCTCTTTTTCCACCAAGTGAGGTCAACTTTCTTCCACCATTCGTCCCCTGGCAATGTAACAAGCGAGTGGGAGAGGTTAGTCGCACGCCAAGAGGGAAGGGGTAAGGGTTAGCTATGTTGCACGCCCGGGCGCGGTTGGGGGTCAAGTCGGGCGCGGCCTCGGTCGTCGGCCAAATCGGCTGGGTTCGGCCATGGCCGACCAGCCGAGTTCGGTGCAATAATTTTTTTTTCGATTTTTCATGTCCGAAAAAATATATATATATATATGCTTTTTTTTTTTTTCGTGTTCGACATTTCGCGGCGCGCGGGAAAAAAAAAACAGAACCCCCCCCCCAAAAAAAAAGGCCAGCGGGGCCGTTTCGGCCCTGTTTTAGTGCCACTGGGTGGGAGCACTGGGTGGGCACTGGGTGTGGGGGGCGGTGGGTCCAGGCCCGGGCCACGACAAATCTGTTGCCGTTCCAGATAAATGATGCCATTTATCTGAAACGGCAACAATTCTTGCTGTTGCCGTTAGGCTGCCGCCCTGCCTGCTCGCACGCTCAGAGAGAGGGAGAGAGAGAGAGAGAGAGAAAGATCTTCTCCCCAGTCCTTATGAGAGAGAGAGATAGATAGATAGATAGATAGATAGATAGAGAGAGAGAGTACCTGGTGAGAGAGAGAGAGAGAGAGAGAGAGAGAGAGAGAGAGAGAGAGAGAGAGAGAGAGAGAGAGAGAGAGAGAGAGAGAGAGAGAGAGAGAGA